TTAGGCATTTGAAGCGAACAGGTTTTTTAGCATTATTTAATTGGGTGTTTCAGGTTTGAGCGCGTGATGAATGAGCTGAAAAAAATTATGAAGGATATATAACCCTCAGCGCCGCCTAGGGTTCTTTCCATTGTTCCATTTGCGGTAAAAGAACCGCCGAGTTGTTTTTCGGAACGACCCGGTAGCTAAGCTGGGCCTAAGGGCCTAAGTTACAGCTGTTGTTAATTCACCAAATGGCATATAAGATTTTCGCAGCAGTTCACAGCTATGCCCAGCAGTTTTGTAAGATCACATTCCTCTGTTTCAGAGGTAAATGTACGCAAGCTTGTGCAGACTATTTCGCGCTGCTTAAAGGGAATGTTCCACGTTGACATGGGATTTTGAACTAAAAACAAACAGCACAAATCTACTTTCGCGCTACGTTCTATGGTTTTTTCAACTTTAGCGTTTTGTTCTCACAATTGGAAACTGCGATAAATTGCGTTAGGTACTCCACGCTACATCTTTAAGTTTGTTTCTTTGCAGTCCTCGCTTTCCCAGTGCGCCGCCAAGTGCGAGCGAGCGATAAACCGTCCCAATGCCGGGTTGACATCACCAGTTGGAAAACCCACGCCGAAAGATTGTTACAGGTTATGTTGTAGTGACCTGGTTGCTTAGTCTTGACCGCCGCATGTCTTATGGAATGGCAGGATTTAAATGACGCTTTTATTCTGTCATAGATACCACGGTGTCTCTGAAATATTCTCTCACATCTTCGCGACTGTTAGCTCGAGAAACAGAGGGCTTTTTGTTACAAAAACGTCGGCATGCCTGTGAACTGCATCAAAAGGAATTCCAGTTGGCTATTTCAGTTTAAACCCCATACAAATGTGAAACACCCCCTCTGGGGGCATAATAATGGTTACAAGTAAGCTGTGTCCATCACATCTGATGCTTGCCTCAATGTCTTCAAATACAGGACACTCGCTTCAGCAGAACCAGGTTATTGACGACCATGCCATTGCCTGAGCTCTCCATTCAGCATATGACAACGGTGAGGACGGCGGCATCAAGATTATTCGGGGCAATTTATAGTGGTGCCTTTCTGAACAACTCTAGTTTTCTTGTTAAGATACTGCAACTTTTGAGCTACACGCCCGCAGAAATATGCAGACTATTTTCGTGCAGACTTCTTCAAAGTTACCCATAGATCCATGACGCCATAATAACGTAATTGAGATATGGCCATTCCACTGGCCATGCTGCGCTCAAGGCCAGGAAGAAAATAATTGCCGAGTTCACCTCTGGCGTTCGTGAACACGATTATCAGATACAACGGCTGTCACCTAGCTGTCAGCCAGTGTTGCGCAAACATACAAGATTCCATCACTGATAACACTTTGTTACATACTGCAAGAGGCTGTGCCTTTTTAAAATAATGCAGAAATGCAACGTGAAACACGAGTATCTTAAAGGGAATATTCAACATTTGGAGATATGATGCATCAGATATGCTACAAGCATCAGATATGATGAAATTAGCTCAGTTAGATCTATTGGTATATTTTTAAGCGGAAAAGGCTGCTCCAAACAACACAAGGTTTGCTTGGTAGATATTCTGCTCCCTACGTCATCGTTTTATCACATCATCGTACCTTGCACAACATTGATTAAGGGCAAATTGACGACGCCATATCTGGAAATTGCGCTCTCGAACGCCAGATATGAATGCCAAGACGATTATATTTCCCTGGCCTCGTTCGCCGCACAGCTTACGAAATGGCAGGACATGATTGACGTTACTATGACGCCGTGAATGCCCAGGTGACTTTGAAATACTCTTCCCGATATACCCTGCCCCATTTTCGCGGGCGTGTAGCTCAAAAACTAGAGAAGCTTGGGTCTTAAGAGAGGCAGGATTATAAACAGCACCGAAAGGTCCTCAAGATGACTATTGCTATTCAAAACGCCATGTAAATGTGGTACACTCCCCTCACCGCCTCGCAGGTGATTTTCTGACCGGACAGGCGTTCTCATGGACTTGCTCTTCCTTTCTGTTATATTCAGTTCAATCGGAGCTTTCAGACCTTCGCTCACGATTATTTTTGAATAGGGCAGTATGGCACGTGGCGGCAATAGTGATATTCCTTGGAGGATAGCACTAGCCGAGTATGTGAATGCAAGCAAGCACTTTAAACTCACGGATAAATAAGCAAGAACACCACGAGAAAGGGCCAAACTACAAGCACTTAACGATATGTGGTTCAGCACACATCCATCTCACGCCATGGGCCACCATTGAAGAACTACAAGAGAGTGCTTACCATGCAAGCGTTCCATTACATAATCAGACAATGACTCATTGATGAGCATATTGACTACATAGAGAAACATTGTCGTCTAGAGAGGATATTTTTCGGAAGGGGGCCTAAGCCCCCAATGTTTATTTGAGCACTTCCCCTGACCCTCTGAGGCCCTCAATGGATATGAACGAAGAAGGAATACTTGGTCAAGTAAATGCATGGCAGTTATCTTGACAATCTGAGAAGTTTTTCGAATGATAACCCCTGGATTGGGATAAAAACAATTTACTGCAGTATTAGACAGCTTTTCAAAGTGCAGGGTGGCCCAGATAAAAGTCAAAGCATGGGCTCCTCAACAATGGAGGATGCATTTGTCGCATAATCGTAGCTGTGGTGGCTACACGACACGATCGGCGACAGCGGTAGTCATCAGTGATCCCTTGCTAATATTTAGTCAGATGTTTTTCTCCTGTAAATTACACCCAATTCAAAGACTTTTACAAAAGGGCAGCACACATTGACTTGAAATGTGAAATCATCATTCTTCCGAATTGAAAACAGTTTTGAATCTACAGTGTTAAATAATATTAGTTTCGGCAACGCGGACGCAAATTCAAGTGGCTGAAATCCGGGAAGAAATCAAGCTTTGCGGCTAGGCTAGGAAAACATTTTCGACTGAGCTCCCCCCCCTCTCAGCCGATTTTAGAAAGTGACGCCCCTGCACCAAAATTTCAGTTCCAATAAAGGAATCGTGTAGTCCCAAGAAAATGGCAGCCAATACCAAGGGCGCGGCAACAATTTCCTGAAGGGAGGGCGAGACGGAGGCGTAGCTCAGTGAGAGCGCATCGCGCTGGTTTGTAGCTTTCTGTCTGGAGCCATATATGCTGAAAAATTGCTACGCATGTTCAAGGGATGATTCGCTGGCTACGCCTTTGCTCGAAACAAGCTGCTGAGGGGCTGCGAAACCCATATTGCTCAGACTATTCGCTGGAGGCAGGGTTTTTGCTCATTTGGGGGATGGGCTTAAGCCCCCCCCCTCCTCCCCTTCCCAGCTTGGGCTCAAGCCTCCCCGCCCTAACTTTAAGATGAAGGTAGGCCAAATACAGAAATAAATCCGTTTGCTGGCCAGCCATGAGGTATGTCGGACAATTTTGCACTGTTTTTTTTTTTTAGCTGGATGATTTGAATCTCCGCGAGAACCCCTGGATAATGGACTACAGATAATCCATCCGACGCTCCACCAGAAAAAGTTCGCACGCTTAGAACATATCACTATTAAAAATTAACCCATCATGCGTTGCAATTTATAATAACATGAGAGGAAATAAGACAAGGTAAGCAAAATTTCATGCATACTAGGCATGACTGGAACAGTTCAAGGTCAGCGTTTGAGCTTGTTTCATTTTACTGGTGAGTTCCGTCATGAAGGCAGGGACGGAAACATTACGCGAGCAAAAGGCATCTAAATTTCTATATTTTATGCACATGATGTTTTATGCACAAATGTTGGCCATCTATCAAAGCAAGTTATTTCTCACACGTCGCCTCACGAGTGTCTTCTTTGTTTGCTCTCAGACCCACTACCCAGAAAGTTATATTTCTGCTACTCAAGATGCGAAAGTTCCTACCATACTCAGATTGATTGAGCAGTTGGTATTTGTATATAAATGATACTGTTTTATCAGATTGCATTGTTTAGTGAAATATATTGCTTTGGGTTATAGCGGACGTTAACAATGACAATCAACACGCGCTTGGGTGGGGGTCAAATTGACCGCGAAGGTTTCTCCAGAATGGTTTCCGAACGGTGATGCGTAGCCGCACCAAATTTTGTATAGCTGTAGGCAATTAAATAGCGGATCGTTTGGTATACAAAATTAGACATACCTTGCAAGTTCGCTAGCCTATGGAAGGTCAAAGTCAGGTCATGGTTTCAGCCAAATCAATTTCTGGGGAAATGTTCAATCTGATGCAACAACGGAGTGTTCAATGAAGCTATACGTCTCCGAGATGCTTTCTCATGCAACACAAATATGAAATGAGCACATAAGTTTACCCAACATCAGGCATGAAGGTCAGCCAAGGTCAAAACCAACCTGTTTATTACTCTAGAGCTTGCTGTAGGGGATAGTTTCTGGTGCTCATTTCGAATTTATTGATAGCAGGGACCGCATTAGACATATTCCATGGACTTCTTAGAAGTCCAAATAGGTCATTGATCTAAACTGACCCAGGTCAACATTTGGTTTTTAGAAACATATTGCCCAGCGCAATCTTTCTCGTTTATTCAAATGCAAAACTCAGAGCAGTCTAGTATGGTTTCAATTACCATGATCTCCAAAGGGTCAAAAAAGGTCATTGGCCTCACATGGATATGTGACCTTGTGCTTAAAAGGTTTAGCTCAAAAAGGCAGGTTCTATGGTGACTTTGCAGACCAACCTGGAATTTGACACCTTTTGATCATATTTGGCCCGGAGGTCGTGTCCAAGTAACCTCAAACTTTGGCCTAAATGAGTTCACGTTCAGGTCAACACAGCCTGTAAATTTGGTGTCTTTAGCTCTCTTAGTTCCCGAGATCTCAGGTGGTCAAATTGACCCCACCCCCCACCCGAGCGAAGGGTATGCAGCTGGCCACCCGGGCGCGTGTTAACATTAACAGGCATAAGAGATGGCCGTTGACGATATGCAGGCTATTCCAAATGCCAACCTACCTCGTCCTTTTGCCTGGACAACTCCGTCTTTTTATTAAACAGGTCCAACCGAAAAGGTCATCGACAAGCACAATTTAAGCGCGCGCAGACCGTCAACACTGCACTATTGCACTGGACCGGCGCGTCTTCTGCGTGTGTCGGGCATCAGACGCCGAGCGCCAGGACCGCACGGCCTCCAGACCGGCTTCCGGGGATCTGCCCCTGTGAACAGATCACAGCACACGGTCCAGAATGGCTCACGCGCAGCACACGCTGCCGGCAGGCCGTCCGTTCGTTCGGGCGTGTGTCCGGAGCGGTTGTGGCGGGGTCAGTTTACCACGCTGGGAACCTTTTCACTTGGCTCTCTTCGCTTCAGGCATAGAATTGGGCGGGCTGACCTCCATATTTGCTAATTATTGTGCTATTTTCGTTCGTATTAAAGGGATTTTCACTCCTGAATATATCAAACCAAGCATCAGATACGACGAACAGCCATGAACTACTCGACAATTACATATGTCTTGGCTTTGGAATGACAGGATTTGGATAAATATTATGGCGTCAAGGATGCATGGGTGACCCTGAAAAAGTCTCCCCGTAAAAGTCTGCACATCTTCGTGGGCATGTATCTCAGAAACTAGACTTGAAAAGGGTAGGGCTCTTAACTGCACCGAATGATTTTTAGGACGTTTTTTCAGTTTAAAACCTTTATAATGTGGAACACTGCCTTTAATGAGCCCAGTGTCTATTCAAATGTCTCATGATGCAACTACGTCGTAAACTCACTTCATGTGTACGGATGTTTGATTATTCGTATTCATCAGCAATGTTCGCCGATTCCCAGCTGGTGTCAGTTAGCAGATCGAATGAGTTGGTGGTTGGTCGTGGGTGCCCTGGTCCGTTCTCAGCTGGCCTCAGCTAGCAGCTCGGACGAGTGGCCGGTGGGTCGATTTGCTTTTGTTGTTAGGAGAGGCGCGCAGATTTAAGCGCTTCGCTTTTGTTGTTAGGAGAGACACGCAGGTTTAGGCGTTTCGCTTTTGTTGTTAGTAGAGACGCGCAGGTTTAGCGTTTCGCTTTTGTCTGTACTCGAATATAAACAACGAACAAACAAAACTAGGTTCCAAAAGCAGCCTTAACTTCACAGGAAACGTTTAAAGGGTCGTGGGGAAACGTCATGGTAGACACATAGGAAATGTGTCATTCATAGGCAACGTCATGTTAGATGCAACTTATGAACACAGCCGGGACGGGAATCCATTACCTCCATTGGTTTTCCGAATGTCGGCTTCACAGTAACGGCAGATAAGTTTATACCTGGGGAGATACAAATGCATCAAGGACGCAGATAAACCAATAATAAACAAGTAAATGACTGGAATCCAACAATAACCCGATTGTAGTTAATTTTAGGTTTAACGCTTGCGCCAAATGTTTGAAAACAGTTTTAAAGATCCCTACATACTCTGGTATTTTGATATTGTGCAGGCTTATGTGCAGGCAACCCGTCATGTCACATGCCACTATGTACTGCTACCGCAATTAACATCGGCTGAAGTTCGTGACCACCCAGCCGCTATGAACATCAATGACCCCGTGGTAGAGCTCACGGCTCTCTCGAAGACAGTCCGGGTGCCCCACTCCGAGCTCGCTCAGCCAATCCTCCATCCCCATGTCTCACCCATGCGCGGATGAGGACGGTCCGGCGCGCGCCGGGGGAGGGGCACTCACCTGACACATGGAGGCCACGCACTGGCCATGGCAACACTTGCCGCTGCAGCAGATGCCATCGATGCAGCAGGACCCGCCGCAGCAGATGCCGCCGCAGCACTTGCCGCCGCAGCAGGACGGGCCGTCGCAGCAGGCGCCGCCGCAGCACGAGTCAGGACAAGTGGAGCAGTCGCCGGCCCGGGCCGACCGCGCCGACCCGGCTGCAGCGGACACAGGAACGGTAGCACCTGCTTCTTCAGGGGAATGCTACTCATTTAAATGCATCGAGATCAGCGTCACATTTGATGAAAGAAACTTAATGGTAACTAGTGGCATGTCTTTAAGGGTAAAACGCGGCCTCAAATAACACACAAATTCACTTTTTAGTAAATATGCTCTTCATGCGCCATTGTTTGATTTCGTCGTGATGCGCGTTTGTGGCATCCGAGTCACTGCCAGACTGGCCCATGAAACTGACTTCGTAGTGTACGGGCGAAATCACTTGTAGTGCTTCAACCTGCCCCGAGGTGGCGTGTTAATCGTTGCGTGTTTGCGGATTCCGTACATCGTTATTTTGCACCCGTTTTGGCCCTTCCTCGTGGTCTTCTTAATACTTGTCCGTTATTTTATACTGTTCGTGCATTCACGTAGAAGGTACGGCGCTTTCTTAAGTTGTTCGATTCCAAGTCTCGCCTCCGTCACAACTAGAACCAATGCTCAAGTTCCTGTATGATATATCGTAAAACGTGATTCGTGTTCGAGACTTGCAAGGAAGACATCAAAATGGTTGAAGCACCACTTATGCCCGTTGACGCTAGAAACCTCGCCGGTGTACGCCAGGCACGAATTATTCCATTGTCATCTTTGTATTGTCCTAAAGGACTGCATGCCCAATGATGTGGCGGTACTTGCGCGACGTTTGTAGGCAGCCGTGCACGTCTCAGTGACCTCGAAATAGTCTGCACGAAATAGCCTTTGCAAGTTCACGGGCGGCAAACTCAGAAACAAGACGGTTTCAAGTCTTAAAAAGAGCAGGAATGTGAATTGTACTGAATGATATTCAAAATGCCTATCCCAGTTAAAACCAACATACAAATGTACAACAATCCTTCCAACTGAAGTGGTTGCGCACACTGCACATCCCCCCCCCCCCCCACACTGGCTTGCGTATGTCTCTGCAAGTTTGAAAGTCCACAGCAAGTCCGAAACTAGCCACTCAGGGCACAGGTTTGGAAAATTGAGTTGAGGGGCTTAACACTGAAGACTACATCAACTCCTCACTAAAAGAAAACACCAAAGTACGTGTTTCTTGCTGGATTTGGTTTGCTGTGCTCTTAAATTGGGGCGGGGGGAGGAGCTGATCCCAATCTAGGATCCCTTCTTTTCCCATCTTTCTTTTTCTTTTCCCAACTGATTCGGAGCTACATCTCGGCGATGGCATTACGATTCGATGGAAGTCTATAATCATTTTGCAACGAATTGCCAAACTTCGCAATATGTGAACATTGCATCAGCCAGGCGTGAGTGTCACGTGAAAGAATTAATCCTCCCATGCCCGACTGGTTTCATCACTATAGCAGACCACCAGTACATTCACCGAAGCCAAGGAAACAGCTTATTGGAGCCTTAGTGGTGTCTTTCAGGCACAGGGTTTCCATCGTGCATCACACACATGTCCCCAATCCACTGTGACATGCGTTGAGCTAGTGACCTGTTACATGGAGTTAAAGTATGCTTACGTTGTTTTGAGGATTTACATGTTTAAAAAAAATCCGGGCTTACTTAACCGCACAGCTGAATGTCACAGGGGCACGACAAACGTGGCGAGTTATGTCTGGCCATGACTGCCGTTGAGATGACTTAGCAAATGCCAACAGGCACTTGCGAGGCACATAACTGTAGGAATGTGTGCCAAGTACATCAGTTCACCAAACTGTTCTGCAAAATGCATTGTTTGAGCATGCAGGACGTTAAGAAACGACCTATCGCAGTAGCGTATAAGCTAAACGTGCTATTTTGGGGCATATGTGTAAAAGGCATTAGAAAATGGAAATGGTGTACATGTACATTTAACCAGTAGGATGCGTTATGCGGCATGAGACGAGTGAAGCCACGAAAACTGGCAGTTTTCGGTTGACGTCTTTCAGATGATGCAGAAAAAGATGCACACAGAGCCAAGTACATTTGATAACCCGTATGGCAAGTACGACTCTCCATGCGCTGAGGGATGGACAAGTCGATGTAGATGACTGTCAGCTGTCGGCTATTACCATATAGATGGTGCAAAATACGAAGCCAATGACGCCAACGACCTTAAGCCACCGATATGAGTGAGTAGGATCAATGTGTTGGAAAGTATCCTCCCGGTAAATTTTGCGTACAGAAGTTCACTAATGTAGCGTTCGCGAGATAAGTTACTAATATCACCCCTTGAATATTGGCGTTCGTTTTCGGTCACGCCTAGACGCCTTAACGCACGACATCGATACAGTTAAAATCCTTCGCCCTTTTGGCAATTAGAATCAATAAAATATTGCGAAATTGCAACT